ATTCGCGCGGGAGCAGGGTAGGTGGGCTGCGTGGGAGGCTTGGGGGGCTCGCCGGTGGGGACCTGGAGCTGACCATCGTCGATCTGGGTGACGGGGTGGGAAGAAGGGGTCGCGGGCTCCGGGGCGGCACCGTAGTCGGCCTGCGCGGACCGCTTGCTCTTGCCGCAGGAGCGGGACGTAAAAAGCGACGGGGCTGCACTGCGGGGCCCAGTTGCGGTCGTAGAGGTTGGCAAAGTTGCCCGAGTTGCACTTGAAGAACGTCTTCTGGTCGCCAAGAGCGAGGAGGTTGTCGTCGCAGACAGCGAAGCCACTGGTGTAGATGGCATCAGCCTGGGCGGGGGCCGTCAAAACTGGGAAACTGGGTCAATCTGGACCTGGTAGTCGGGTACGGTCCCTTGGAGTCGGGTGAAGGACACCGTCCTTTGAGGTCCTTGAGTTCACAACCAGGGAGCCAGGCGCGCCGGCGCAAGAAGCAGCATCGCGCATCTACCACGTGTTAGACATGGGGGCATGGCAAGATGGAGCAGATCTCATCCTCGAGGCGCTTCATCTCCTCGGGGGCGGCGACGATGCTAATCTCGAACGAGTCGGCATAGGTTGTGCTGCAGCCGGCAGGAGCCGCTGCGGCCGGAGCCTTCTGTGACTGGGGAGCAGCCATGGCGGTGCCGACCATGGCGGCGAGAACGACGGGAGTGTTCTTCATGATGTGCTTTGTAGCGAATGTTTCAAAGTACCAAGTAACGACGGAAGGTAGACGTCTCAGGGCGTTCTACGTTTCAAGCGATAGTGATAGACGAACTGCAGCAGTTGAGAGAGAGTCTGATCGAGACGAAAGGCGCAGACAGGGAGTCCATTTATGTTTCCGTGGCCTCCCACCAACTCTGTTGTCAGGGGCTGGATCGGCAGCCCAGGTGGGTAGGGAGTCCAGGTGGCTAAGGCAGGGTGAGCAAGGGGTTGGGACCATCCCAAGAGTTGACGAATGACAGCCGCACATCACGACGCTGGGGAGGATTGGGTTTTCCGATCTCGTCATCACCAAGGGGAGAGCAGATCCCGGCTCGCGCGAAAGCCTCTCCAAGAAGCTGCTAGAGCTGGCTGGACTGATGGCTGGACTGATGGCTGGACTGATGGCTGGGATGGTTGGCCGGGCAGTCATGGTGGTTGGGGGGGATGACCGGCCATCTTGGAAAGGACCGATGGACGGACTTTGACGTCAAGAGCCAGCTGGCCTCGAGGTTCCGAAAGGCAAGTGGTTGATCGACTCTGCGTGGTTTGGAAGAAGTATCCGCCAGGCGCAGCGTGGCTTGTTTGACGTTGAGGTTGTGTCCGGCCGTCAGGGGAGGTGGCGGGGCGTAGGCCGCCGTCGAACCCCGAACTAGCCATCCACTTGGGAGCGGCCATCTGTGATCTCCGAAAGCCTTCTGTCGTTGCACGAGGGCCTAGCATGCATTAGCGTGCATCTAGGGAAGCCTCTGGATTTGCCCGAAAGGTGTTTGCGGAGGTTGGTTGGCACAGCAGGCGATCTGCTGCTGCACATAGCGACATTCATTCAACCCAATCGCACCCATCAGCCGGGCTCTTCTCAGCCATTGGATTTATCGCAGCTGCCAGGGAGGAGATGGGAGGCGTAGCAAAAAGGTAACTTTGGACTCGTCGCACGACGCCAGTCGTACCGTCCATCCACTCGAGGCTGGGTAACAAGACACCAACCCCTAGCCTGAAAGCCTGGCTAAAGTCCACATCAGCACCAGTTCAGAGGTGCTCCAAAGGCACTAGGGAGGCTGATCGTAGCACTTGGAAAGGACCTCGAAACACGGAAAACAAACACGCAGAAGAAAGCAGACGGAAGGCTGTGCCCAGCTGTGTTTCTTTGTTGTCCAACTGGAACAAAAACGTCTGCCAATCCCGTCATCCGTCGGCTCGACAGGGGTGTCGAACTGCGGGAAGCAGGGGGCGACCGCGGAGGCCAAGAGATCGCCCAGGAACCCCCCCTATCGCTGATCGGCTTCGCTGTCGAGTAAGCTTCTCTTGAGCACGCTAGCAGAGAGCCGGCGCCTGGCGTGGCTGTTTGTGGTTGAGGGTTGCTGGGGGCTTCCCCGCATAATGGACCTGTCAGAGGGCACGAGAGCAAGGGGCCCCGGCAACCGGAGTCGAGTGCTTCGAGACGTTTGGATGGTCGTCGAAGAGGATTGCGCGGCCAGTGTTTCGCGGAAGAAGATCGGTCGAGGGGCTTTCGGTCCATGGAGGGTCTGGACATGGGCAGCGCCAGGCCCCGAGAGAAAGTGATTGGGTGTCCTGGGTCGAGGTGTCCGAGCAACGGGTCCCGATCGACGCCATGAAGTCGTGATGATTATCGCAGCCTGGATAAAGATGGAAGTAGTTGTATTCGGATGGTTGATCAATGGAGTTACGACGTAACCGTTGGCTCATTTGATGTCACTTCTTCCTATCTGCACCAGAAAGGATCTTCCGGGCAGGTAGCCAGAGATTTCACGAGCTGTGCATGGTTGCTGCCTTACATAATCGTGGGCCTGCTCGATTCGACTGCCCTGCAGCCTGCGGTAAGTCGAAGCGCCGAACCCAACGCCATCCAGGAGCCAGCGCGTGATGGCGCGACGAACCGTCCAACAACCCCGAGCCCAAACTAGTTTCCTCGCCATGAGCCCCCGAGGTCGGATCATCTAGCGGATCCAGAGAGTCGGGCAGAGGAGAGCCGACCAACCAGCCGGCAACGCAAGTAGTCGTCATGTCATCTGCGTCCGGCGGAGACCATTGATATGCCCAGGAAGAGAGCAGCATTGGGGTGAATTGCCTTGAGCGCCACCCCTTGAGTAGGTAGTTATCTACCAGGGTACACTTTTGAATTTGACTTGTTTCTTGCGGAGACCAACAACTTCACACTCATCTTCATCGTCTCGCTGCATGACTTCGGGTCAGCGGTCGATGGCTGCTATTTACAACATGAGCGGGAATCCTTGCACCTCTGGCAGGCACACATCGTGAAGCTGGATGCTTCCGTCGCCTTTGGTACGCCTCAATCCATACACCCGGAGGTCTAGTCGCAAATGAAAAATCTGGGTCGTTCCGCTGCATCGTAAGGATAGAACCAAGCTCAAGAAAACACGCCTTGACTCACCGTCACTTTTGGTTGGAGCGACTAGTGGTCTGAACTCTTGTGAATGATGACCAGCTGACGATCGGGCAGAATTGTATCGCGCTATTCAGTGAGCTGATACCCAAGAAGGATATTTGATAGACATTCATCGGTATTTTGATTCAATGCCTCCCTGGGAATTGCTCGAATCTCTTTTGAAATCCTGCAACTTTTCAAACTTGTCATTTTTGCAATGGTTGTTTTGTCAGGAGGAAGGCGAGAAATCCCATCCGGTCCTCCATAGTGTGATCAAATGAGCAGAAGTATAGCCATCATTTACAGGCCTTAAAAGAACGATGGGAAACCAGGCCTTCGGCATTATTATATCTGCCAATACCAGAGCCCACCCAGCTCAGTCAGACGAGGTTCAAGACTTAGCCTCATTACTCCTACATCCATACCACCGGCAAACAGGATCTGCTCTGCATTAAAGACCGGACTGGAAAGGGACACCACCTCCGCTGAGGGTTTCTTGACCCACGTCGCATCCCACATCCCTTGCACAGATTACAAACTACCCACCACAGCTGGTGCTCAAACACGCGACTTTTCATTGCCGACGGCGTGAATGTTGATGTCATCTTCAAGGTGCTCGCCCGCGTGAATCTCCTTCTCGACCTGGTTCATGTCGACGTGGGCAATGGCATCGTCGCCGTCAAAGATACGAGCAATCTCCTCGAGGGTCGGACCCTTGGTCTCGACGTAGAAGAAATACACAAAGACGAGCTCGCAGAAATCCCAGAGCGTGTAGAACAACATGAAGTTCCAGTGGTTGGGGAGGTTGTCCCAGGCGATCTTGTTGGTTTGGCTATTGAACGGGGGTTAGTGAACATGCCTCCGCATCGTGTAGATAAAGGGTACTTCTTACTTGCTGAGAGCCAGGATGGCCTGGACGGTAATGTTCATGATCATCATGCCCTTAGCGCGAAGGTGGAAAGGCAAGACCTCGAGGGCGTAGGCGATGAGAAGACCTGAGAAACCGATATCATAGAAGATGCCGAAGATCCAGATGAAGACGAGCTGAGTGTATCCAGCAGCCGAGTTAGTCTCGTTCGAGTTCTCGTAGATCGCACCGGTGATTGTCCAGCAAACAAAGTTGACAACCATGCCCGTGATGGAGACCAGGAAGAGGGGCCGGCGTCCAAAGTAATCAACCGTCAGCGCAGCGGCGATGGCACAACCAAGGTCAAGAACCGCCTTGCCGGTCGACATGGCGAGCTTCTGGTTCTGGTTCGTAATCCCAGCACCTTCGTAGATGGTGTTCATGTAGTTCGAAAAGAGCGCGTTACCAGAGTACTGGGAAATGATACCGAGAGAGATGATAATGGCCAACCGCCACCGGTTCCCCTTGGTCCTGAGGAAATCGGCGTACGTGGTGGCCTTGTCTGCTTCCTTCTCCAAGCGCATCGTTTCCTTGATTTCCCGGTACTGGAATTGGACGGTAGAGTTGTTGACATCTCCTCCTCCGTGCCACTTGGTCAACATGGCCAGGGCATCTTCGTGGCGGTCCATGTTCATTAGGTAACGCGGCGACTCGGGGATCCACCACAGACCGCAAATCTGCATGACAGATGGGGTGATCTGAAGTAGAGTGATGGAACGCCACGACCAATTGCCATCAATATAAGCTGTACCCCAGCCTATCGAAGAGACAATAAGAGAGCCTAGATTCCAGAGACAGTTGTACACTGCCGTGACAGGGCCGCGGTGCTGAGGGTGACAGATCTCAGTGAGAAGGAGAGGGGACGACATCTGTGCCAGAGAGTTGCCAAAACCAAGAACAAAACGACCACCAATGTACACTGGGAAACGCATTAGCTTTTAGTTCTCGTCTCTTATGCACCTCAATCCACTTACTGCCCCAGCCATTCGAGAAGGCGCCCAAGAATCCTCCAAGGATCATGAACAAGCAGCCGATGAAAATGGCAGTCTTGCGACCATAGTGATCCGCAATGTAGGGAGTGATGAAGAACGAAATGATGCTACCAATGTTGAACATGTTGATGAGAATGCCCAGTTTGTTGTTGTTGGTGACGCCTTCTCCGAAATAATCCTCGAACTGCTTCATCATCTGTGAGGTATTGACGAGCATCCCATCGTAGCCAGTGGTCGCGGATGCTACCATGAGGAAGATAGTGAGGAAGTAGAGCTTGCGTAGATGGGGTTCCTTTGTCCATTGAACCTTCTCAAAACGAGGTGCTTCGGCCTGGGCAATCTGAATGTTGTCCGCCACTTGCTGGTCAGTCTTCAGCTTGGGTACCATGTTTGCGGTTGATCAGCGGTTACGTTGCTGAGTGGGTGTTGGAAGTGAGTGAAAATTGAAAAGATGGCCGGGGAAGGAACAAGATTGTCCTTCAAGGTGACTGAAGACCGTTTGCAAGGGGTCATCAAAGCTGCCCCAGAGCATCGTCTGTCAACGGGTTTTTATGTGCCATCAGCCAGGACGATATCCAGAGCTCGCCTCATCGGGCCCATGCTCCGATACATGGTTGCTGTACCCCTCTCCTCCGGTTCCAGTGTATCTCCTTTCCGCCTAGCCTTACACAAGGCAATCTGGTGTTAGAACGAGGGGTAACTTCCAGGGGTAGCAAGGGGCTTCAGCCGCCAGTCCCCAGCAGAAGTTTTCTGGACCTTAGCCGTACGGGACCGATGGCAATGGGCTAACCGCTTCTAGGACACCCTTTTCTGGCGTCCCGACGGACGGCTTTTGCCAGAGGTACAGGGTCTTCAACACCCTGGAAGCGAGGCTGCCTTGCATGGCCGAGTCAGGCGCCGCACGAACGGGGTTCCGCATGTAGTAGCACGGGACGGTCTCGGCGGGGAAATCCACATCAACTGCACCTCATCATATGGCCACGAGCGGAGGGTTTTGCGCTTTTTGAATCATCCAGATTCACTCATAAGAAAAGCCTCATGAAAATATTCAACTTTCTGAAGCACATGGAGCTAAGGTCTTTGAAGGATGTCGCCTTGCTATCGCAGGTCAACGAGTGTTGACAACAAAAGCATCACAGATCTCTTTCAAACATAAGGAATCAGATTAGATAAGAAGACATGTTCGTGGCTTCAAGACACCAACATGTTCACGGAATGTAGAGCTGGAATCCATTCCGGAGGTCAGGTGTCCGGTGTCAGATCTCTCGAGATACAAGGGGGATTAGGAACCCATCTGCAGCGGAGTTCCGGCCCAGACTCGCATCCTAGCACACCTGAAGGTGCAATGGGATTCTGAAGTGTTGGAACCTTGTGCCACTATCGAAAAGCCATCCTGCTGCACAAGTTCAAGCTTGCGGAAAGACGGCGAGGGAGGCGTATTGATCACGCAAGCGAATTTGGGTTCCGCGGAACGTCGATGGAGCCTGCACTGGAACACCATCAATAGAGGCATGCACTCCACAAAGGACGGGGCGGTATGAGGCACGGCTGGAGCGGTCAAGGAAATGTGACTACGCAGGTCAGTCCTGTACGGGCCGGACATCGTGACGGGCACCCGGTTAGTCGGGTCGAAGTGGCGATGAGCGTGATGTCCGGAGAAAGCATGCTGCTTGGAACATACTCCTGCTGTCTAACTCCTAATCACGCATACCATCTGACACCTCAGGATATGGTGTTGTGAGCCGGCTACCATATCTGACAATGTCCGAGAAGGCCGGCGTCGTCCCACTGACAGGCCCTGGGAGTCTTGGCGGCTGATGTCGACCGACAAAAGAATACCAGAAACAATGTAACAGGTGTGAGAGCCGGATAAAAGCCAAGTAATTTATCCTGCACTTTTTGTATTGGTCCATTCGAAGGAACCGGTAGCAGGGACGTCCCTACTCGGAGCCCGATGAGGCACGAAAATATACGGGTCGCATCAGAAACGTGGGGCCCGGTAGCTCAGGTGCTCTAGTCGATCGGTGGCTTGCAGGCCCTATTCGACTTTGGACCCCGTCGTGTGAGACCACAAGTGGTTGGGCGGCGGCGGTATGTGGTTTGGCGCAGTTGTGCTGACATGCGAGCTTCTGGCGCACCCTCGACAGTCCTTTCCATCTTGCCGCCAATGGGAAAATGGTGCTTCGTCTCCGAGTGGTGCGCCGGAACGCACGGCAGTGAGGTGCATGGCGGAGGAGGGGCATCGTTGGCTGCTTCCTATGAGTAGGACTCGGATGCCTCGGGATGTCATACTTGACAAGGAGCGTGGCACGGCCTCTCGAGGCAAATCTACCAGGAATCAAGCGACCTTCCACATCTAGCCTTTCGTATTAGTTTCAAAGCTTGAAGAACTGCACCGAATTACACAACTGAAGAAATGCACTGCACAGGATGTTGCATGCCAGTTTCGGCGTCTCCAGTTGACAGCAACTTCATAGATCGTTTCTTGTGGAATTCCAATGCGCGCGCGGCTGTCAAGATCAGACTCCACATGTGCTGCAGATCGAGGCCCAGTCAGCTTAGATCAACGGCGCACCTCTGAGCCGGGGTGTGCCGTTCGGCACTTCATGCAGCGAGGCGTCGTGGCAATCATGGCACCCGAGTCCAAAAATGAGATGGTGTGCGCTCACAGCGAGCAGAAGCCACAGGTTGGTTCAGGTGCTTCGTAGAGCCATACAACACGGCTGCCATTCCGGACAGACGACATCTGAGCCAGTCGTTGGGTCACAATTGTATTGATGCGCCGCAAAAGGAGCTCGAAGGTCCGAGAAAGCCCCGGTTAGTCACAAAGTACAGAATCGGCTGACTTGACATATTGTCGTGGAACGAAAGAGCTAAACTTGAGCAGTCATGTGTTCGCGTGCCCAACCAGCCCTTCTCACAGCTTGACTAGGGGCAATGACATGCAGTTGGGTTCCTAGATTCACGCCAAGATTACTACAGCTCGATGAGAGTCTTGAACGAAACAAGCTTTACTCAAGCACTTAACACATGCTTCGATTACGGCAAGGAGCTGCCTGGTGGGTGCCAAACTGCACCTCAAGCCGCCAAGACAAGCCTATCAAGAGAAAGAAGACGAGTTTGTGGGTATCGATTCCTCCAGCCGGACAGTGCCATCCCTGGCGTGGTTGTGGGATATTAGCCGGCAGCAGGCGACCGCGCCACTTGTTTCCCTGCCGCATTCGCCGCCGGGATGCGGCACACTACCACAACCGCTGCCATTACCACAGCGACTTCTCCAGCCAGGTCTACAGTAGCTCCCATGATAGGTGGACTCTAGCTGGCCAGGCAATGTCTAGACTGCAGCGCACTGAGAGTTGCTGCTACGGAAAGGTCACCGCAGGAGAATCCTTCTTGTGATTGAGTATGTAAAGCTTGACGTCAATGATGATAATGATGAAGGGTTGAAGTTAGAAGGGCTATTACGGTTCGAAGAAACCAAAGTCGAATTGAGAACGTCGTCGGGGTTGGAGGCTTGCGGCAGCCGTTGAAACTGTAGCTGCGAAGGAGGCACTACTGGCGGATTGCATAGAGATAGCACCGGGTATATTTCGTCGTCGACAAAGATTGATTCGTGCGGAAGTTGTCCACATTGGTAGCCTTCGTGGCCCCTGATGGGCGCACGACAGAGGTGGCAGCAGGCATCTTCCCAAAAGGCTCGCCATGGTATGCGCCCACTTGCCGTTATACAATGATCATGCTGGTAGTTCGGAATGGAACAGGCGAGGGCCAATCCCTCGCACTCCTGATCACGCTAAAGAAGCTGCCTTAGGCAGTAGCCTGCAGGACGGTAGGCAAGGCTCGCAGGGACGAAAAGTAAAGAATAGAAATATCGAGATCCGACGAAGCCAAAAGTCAGGCCAAGCCGCCCTTCTAACCCAGTGTCTCTCCCTGGACTGTTAGTACTTGCTCTCCGCGTCGTTCTCCCAATCACATCTTTGAATATACTCGAATCCTGGCCGCCGGAGCCTGACTACCCACTTCAGGATCCTTTTTCAATAGGCCAGCCTTGTGCGGGGGTGACTTGTGACCTCCTTTTTAGATGTGAGCTGATAAAAGGTATGCATGTGTGCAGTCATTACTGGGCCTTGTCAGCCTTGGGCAGAGGGGTCGTGTCGTCGGGCAGGATCTGTGACTTAAGAGGCTGAGGCAAACAAAAGCAAGGCAGAACCTGAGGAGTGATTCTCTGGCCCATTATAATGGACTCAATACGTCACGGTTGCTTACATCAGGCTCAAGCGTCACAGGCTCGTATTTCTTTTGACGTTCAGGTCGAGTCAATTTTTGCTTCGGCGGTCACGTCGTACTTTTTTTGTCGAGTCCATTCGGTTTCTCTGCTACCAAAAATGTCAGTCTGTGATATGGGGAAAAGACTCATAAGTCTTCGCTGTCATTGCTCGGCAGCAGTACTTCTCTTCGCAATAGTGTCGAAGATGAAGATAGCAGGCAAGTATAAGTGTGCGTATGAGGAAGACTAAATTTGACTTTGATGCAGCAAATTCGAGCCTTCGTCGCATGACGGGGTCTTAAACTACTCTCCATTGATTCCAGGTTTCCATCATTGTTCAATCCCTCAACGGACATCAATTTACACTATCACAATGTCAACACAAGACAGTGATGTAAAGACCAAGGTCCAACTTCAACCCGAAACGATTGGCTATATCGGGCTAATCAGCTGCAATGGTGAATCCATTCCTAAATGCCCCTTCTGACGATGTGCGAGTGCGTTCATGACGCATTTCCACCAGGGACTTTCGGCTATTCGTTCTGGACCGAGACTAACGACATATGGCAGGATGCTGACTCGATGGCCGTTGACGCAGGCAGTGGTCATGGCGGCGAAAACAGGTTCATATCCCTGAGAGATGCTACAGAGGGGTCAGGGATGACATCAAGCAATTGAATACTTCACAGAGTCCTCACATGTGACTCCAAAAGTTTTTGTACCCTTGAGCTTTCGCTAGTCATGCCAAGCAACGCCTGAGATCCTGGTGATTGCTCCGCTGATCCTCGTAAGGAGTACAGCTTCTGCTCCAGGGCCAGTGACGCAAATATTAGGATCTCATCGATTGCCATGATCCACGTTGTCCAGAGATTATTGGAAAAATGATTGGGACATGGCTTTCTCGACTCCAGTATCGGAAGTGGGGCGAATTTGAACGACGCCAGATTCGTTAGCACAGCTCTGCAGGCTGGACGGACTGCGTGTGTCATGTCAATATCGAAGGAGCAGCGACTGCGGCTGTCTGGGTATCAAAATTGCCATCGAATCAGTTCTCATGAGCTTGATAACACTTTCCAATATTAGCTATATTGGCAGTAGGGAAAAGCCAGGCATCTCTCTCGGTCGTCTCAAATTGACAGCCAGGCTGAGGTAGCAAGACGAGGCTGGCATCCTGACAACATAACAAAGTTGCACTATAATCAAGATTCCAGCTCTCGGATTTGGCTCGGCGTCATAATGTGCAAAAGTGGCCACATTGCGAACCGTTCTTACTGAAGTCGGTCTTGTGTCGCTGACGCCGCACGAGAAAGTTCTTCCCTTCATTCAGGTCTGCCTTCTGCCATCATGCTGTGCCACGGATACTTTCCATGCAAGATTGTGCGAGACACCCCACAGGCACAAACCTATTATGCCGAGGCTTGCTTTTCTGAAAGTAATCAGCAACATCTATCTTTCGACAAATGATAATGGTGTGCTAAGAGCTAAGCCTTATTGGTGTTTCGTCAAACGCGAGAGGTATGAATTGCACGATTGTACTCGGGGCGCTTATCAATCAAATGCACAGCGGAATTACAAATGCATCAGATCGCGAACAGAACGAGCCTCCGATCGACTGAGAAGCGTAATATCTCTTAAAGATCGACGTTCCGCGATGCTGTCCATCTATTCCTACACAATAGCACTGATCCTGTGTGCTTATCTGTCGTTGCATTTTAGGTCAGACTCAGTCACAACCATGTCCCAGAAAGCGCTGTTACTTGAAGAAATAGGGAAGCCGTTGGTTGTGGGGGAACGTTCGATTCCACAGGCTGGCTCCAATCAATTACTTGTCAAAGTTCTTGTTGCTGGTCGTAAGTCTTGAGCAGTCTTCATCGCGAATTGAACGAACATCGACTCATCAAATACTTAGTCAACCCCCACGACCAGAGAACTCGTGATGACGGTCTTTTCGTCACTAGCCTGCCATATGTCCTGGCGAGCGATGTGGTCGGAGAAGTCGCAGTTGTGGGTAGCGGCGAGTATTCTTCCAAATTCAGCGTCGGCGACCATGTCTTTGGGCACTCTTTCGCTGAAGGGGGTTTCGACAACGATTTCAGCGGAGCACAGCAGTACGCGCTTGTCGACGCAAGATATGTTGGCAGGGTGGCCGGCAGTGGCCTGAGCGACGACGAGGCGTCCACGATCCCTGTCATTGTGCTGGCAGGCTTCATTGCTCTCTTTGCGAAGTCCGGCCTCGGCTTGCCTCCTCCTTTTCCCGCAGAAGCAAAGTCATTCGACTACGCCAACACGACGCTTCTTGTCATTGGAGGCGGCTCGAACACAGGGCGGGCCACGATCGAACTCGCCAAGCTTGCAGGCGTAGGCCGAATTATCACGGTCGCTGGCCTCAAGAACGAAGAGACGCTGCGAGCTTCTGGGGCCACACACATCATTGACCGACAAGCCTCGAACGTGCTTGAGCAAATTCGAGCTCTGACAGGTGATGACCTTGTGTATGCGGTCGATACCGTGAATGCAGGCGTGGACCAAGAATTGGGCGTTGCAGCGTTATCGAACACAAAGAAGGGCAACCTAATCACTCTCCGTCGAACTGAAGGCGAGCTGGACACCGATCGGATTGGTAGTAAGAAGTCGGGGTACGATCGCCGCCTTGCATTTGGTGTATCTACCCTACATCCCGAAGTGACCATCCCGTTCTGGAAAGAGGTTCCTCGATGGTACAAAGAGGGTAAGCTGCGTCCCAGCAGTTTTGAGGTCATAAATGGATTAGATGCAGATGCTGTGAACAAAGCTCTTGACGAATACCGAGATGGGAATGGGGCAAAGGTGAACATTCATCCTTGGGACTGAGAGTGTTATTCAAGGACGCTAGAGACTGGATACTTGATGAGGTTTCTACGTGGATAGGGCTCTACCATAACTTGGAACGAAGGCAGAGGCTAGTCACCAAGTTACCTAGAGTACGATCCAATTTGCTACTTTACTTACAAACCATCACGATCTCAATTGTCTTCTACTACCTGTGAGTGTGCATTCAAAGACCCGACTACGAAACCTGGACACTGGCCTGTGGTGAAGCAATGATTTCTTACCTATAAAGCACGCAGAATCCTCAGGTCCGTAGAGGCTAGAATATGATAATTCCATGATGTTGTGGGGCCTTTAGAGACAAAGGTCTAGAGAGTACACGTATCCATGCCGGACATTATGGCTTCGATGCAATCTTGCTGTTCATTCTCAGCGTGCCATGTCCTCCACGTCGTGAAGGGCACACGTTCAGGCAAATCTTTAGCCTCCATCATTTGGTTGTACAGGTTCGCCACTTGTTGAAATTGAACCCGCATTTCTTGGCGTGGAAGAAGCAATGTCGTGCCAAGTCTGATATCTTGGCTCACTTCTAGATGTTCAAAGAACCCCCAGTCAGTATTTTTCTGGAATTCTAGCAATGCTTGACACGCAACATTCTCGTGATCGGTAGTATTCACCACATCGGGGTCGAGGACCGGCTCACAATGACTGGTGCAAGCGCGCAAGGCAAAATAATGCCAGCGATGCGCAGCAAGATTGTACTCCTCCTCGCGGTTGAATTCGTTCATGCGGTTCAGGGCAATGCGCCACTGGCGAGAAATTGCTGACGCCAGCAGCGGGTTAACTGGTCTTCCGATTGGGAACTTTTTGAAAGCCATCATCTTGGAGTTTTTCGTGCTTGATATTGTACGTTGGAAATGTGGGTGTGCCGAATCGTCACTGTCTTTATTCTGGTCTATTTGGAGACGGAAACCCCGCAGAGTGCGAAGCGCATGAAGATATAGAAAAGGTTGAGCCGAGGAAGGAACCACTCAGCATCTTTGATCATGGTCTTGAAAATCTCAGCAAGCGCGTTGTGTTGGGGCAGACTCCAGACCAGATGCAAGGGGACCAAGTATCAGGTATCAACATTGCTGTTCACCACCCGCGACGAAGACACGGCTTTGTGCCAGGAGTCTCCGTACCGTGGAGAACGCCACTTCGGCTACTTTCCGTCAACACTCGCGAACCACGCAAAACAAGGGGTTGATCAAGCTGTCTAAGTACTTGTTGCAGCGTAAAGTGAGGACACGTTGATGCTGTGTCAATCGGGTGGTGTCGGGAAAAAAGGCACTGGCCGTTGCTCGACTTTCATATCGACTCTAGCCTCGATCGTGACACAGGGGTTGCAATTCACAGTAGCTTTGCATGAATGTGTTCCATGCCAACCGCGCTGCTGGCGAGAGCATTGCTCAAAGAATTGGTCCCTGCGTCCCACCCAACACCGCCAACGCACTTGGGTTGACTGCCATCTTACTAGGCAACTTGTATTTGGACATCATATCATACCGCGTCTATAGTCTACTGGTGTGTTATGACGGAACAATCGAGGATTCCTTGGTGGGGCCTGATCAAAGGTGATGGACACATGAACACTGCCTCGACATCCTTCGCTTAGGCGCAAGGGAGAGACAAATATGCGAATGCCGAATGGGCGTCGTCGACAGAATGCCTTGGTTGCCATCTCGGGGCAGCCCGAAGGCCTGGCGCCGCACCCGTGGACGCCGTGCGCCCTATCGTTCGTCCGGAAGCAGCAAGTCATGCAATGCACTCCGAGGCCACGAGCTCACCAACGACCAACCCCTTTCTTGGCAAACCGCTGCTTCGGGTGCCTTTGCAGGCCATCACGCCCGACTGGCTCTAGCGAGCATGTCAAAGAAGCAGGTTGCGTGCCACACGTGGATCCACAGAGTAATCCCCTTCTTCCAGAAGGTGTGGTAGAAGCCGCCAACGATAGAACAATCAACACGTTCCACGCCTTCTTGACATTGTTCTGCGCCACTGTGGGGCTTCCGCCCGATTTGAAGCGAACGGGTCCCCCGATATAGCATAGGGATAGAGCGGCATACAATATGATGTGACGAACGTTCGTTCGGCGTACAATATGTTACGCATGTCTCACCTACGTTGTGCAGGAACGGAAGGTTCCAAATGTGATCTGAGACAGTTTCGCAGATTCCAATCTGATATTGGTCCCTGCCTGTGAAGCAGAGAGTACATTGGTGATACAGAGCAACAGCATCGTGAGATTCAATCATAAATAGACTCGCTTCCGTTCACACTTTGAACGTGACAACCACAAGCCAACCACAAACCTTCTCAATTATTTTAAAGCGAACCAAAAATATTCACAGCAGCAGCCATGAAGCTCTACTCTCTTGTGGCACTGCTCCCCATTATCTCGGTGGACGCATGTCTAACCGACGTTGAGCGCCGCGGCGGTCATCTCATCGACCTCAACAATGCCCACAGCATCGCTCGACGGCAAGAAACAACCGTCCCCGGCACCGTTCCCGTTGGCAAGGGTGACCGATTCATGGGCGGCAAGGTCGCGCCCCGCGGACTGGGCAGCGGCGGCGCCATCCAAGACATTGCCTGGAACTTCAAGGAGATGCAGTCGGCCATCAAGGCGCTCGACAAGCAGTTCAGCGGCGTTGACTACTTCGAGGCCCCCTTCAAGACATACGAGAACCGTACCATTTCGGGCATCAGCATCACCGCCAAGCCGGGCAAGGGGAAGAAGAAGCCCTTTGCCTTTCTGCATGCCGGTATTCACCCGCGGGAAAGAGGTGGTCCAGACCATCTCGTCGACTTTGCCTCTGACCTGCTCTGGGCGTTCCAGGAGAAGAAGGGAATCAAGTACGGCACTGTTGGCTACACGGCCAGCGACGTCAAGCGGGTCGTGGAGGCGGGCGTCGTCATCGTGCCGACTGTCAACCCGGACGGACTCGCATTCGACCAATCGACCAACGGCTGCTGGCGCAAGAACAGAAACCCAGAGTCGTCCACCGCGGGCGATGCCATGTCCATCGGCATAGACCTGAACCGCAACTTTGACATTGCCTGGAACTACACGCAAGCTCTCGCCCCCGGCGTCGAGGCAGCGAGCACCAACGCCAGCGCCGAGAACTTCTACGGCACAGGCCCCTTCTCCGAGGCGGAGACGCAGAGCATCAAGTGGGTGTTCGACAACTTCCCCAGCATCGGCTGGTACAGCGACCTGCACTCCAACATCGGCATTGGCCTCTACGGCTGGTGCTTCGACTCGATCCAGACGACAGACAAGAGCAAAAACTTCAGGAACAAGAGCTGGGATGGCAAGCGCGGCCTCATTGCCAACGACACGTTTGACTACCGGGAGTACATGAACCGCGGAGACTGGGACAAGCTGCTGGAGATTACGGGCCGCATGGCCTGGGCCGCGAGCGACGTCAACGCGGCGTTCTACTCGGTCTACGCCGCGCCGCACCTGTACCCTTCCAGCGGCTGCTCGATCGACCATGCATATGCGCGCCACATCTTGGATCCGAAGAAGAAGAAGATTCTCGGAGTCGGTTTCGAGTTTGGATACGCGGGACCCGATGAGGAATGTCCTTTTTACCCGTCTCCCGAGGCGTATAGGACGGACAAGATGGAGGTGGGAGCTGCTTACATGGAGTTCCTAGTTAATGCACTGAGGCTTGACTAGTTGTCAGACTGTGTCGCAGTCTGAGGGGTCCAACATGGGCTCATTAGGTGTCTGGGCAGATTGAGCTAAGATCTGGATGAGCAACGCGACTGCTGACGAGGAATCGCAAAGAACATGATGATGATGGGTTGGGGTTACTACGACACGGCATCGGTTGATGCACGATTCACCTCCTCTTCATATTTTGCCGTTACAGCTTGAGCTTAGGCCTTTGTCTCAGTCGAAAGCAGCTGAATTGGTATAATAAAGAAACAATTTCCGAACACCTTGATTTCTTGCTTGCATGGCCTCCGTAGACCTGTCAATCTGTGCCCAGTTTCCTAGATGTGCTCCCCATATCACACCAGCAGACACTCTCAGCCCTCCCACGTGACTCGTTTCTCCCTAAAGATGCTGACCATGCCCATCGGTAGCAACCCGGAATCAACAATGTTCAGCCCGCCAAAACGGTCCACAATTTCCGGTCCATACAGCATGGTCACCCACTGCCAGTACGGTTCCATCGAGGCCCAGTTCGAGAAGATGCCTCTCGGCCTCGGATTGCCGGTCAGGTTACGCAGTGCCGAACTGATCGTACTCGTGTCTAGCGACAAGGTGGAGGGTGACGGCTCGACCAACATCTTGCTGAAAAGATCATGCACCTGGACTCCATTGTCTTCGAAGCGGAGCTCCTCCCTGAACCGCGTGTAGTCCTCGAAACTGAGGAACGTCTCCTGCTCCTGCTTCGATTCGGGCTTCCAATCCGGGTCCGCGAGGCTGTAGTGCAGTTCCTCAATCTCGCTGCTGTAAAATCGCTCCTTGGCGGCCTGGTAGCCCTCACGCTCGCCTTTGTGGAAGGCCTCCAGCATGGCAGACGGAGACTCGCTAAACGAATCGCGTATCTGGAGAAGGGTCACGAATGGCGATTTGAGATCCAGGCCCCCCATCTCCACGGGGAAGAAGATGTAGCCGTCGGGAACATCGGCGATGCCGAAACGGGTCTCGATGGTCTTCTTGAGATGGTCAGCGACGCTCGTTGCCCCTGTTTCGTTGAAAGAGGTGGCAAAGGACGAGAATATCTCCTTTTGGATCCGCTGATGGGTACGCAGCATATCGTCCACGTGCTCGACGCCGTAGCAGCATGCAGGCGTGCCAAAGTTGGCGGAGAAGAATGTGTCTGCGTACGTGTTCCAGGTCTGGATGAAGGCGAAGACGCTCTTGTTGCTGCCGACGAGCTGTTTCTGGAGCTCCTCGACGTGTTTGTCCACCATTGTCTGATCAATCTCGAAACGGCCCGTGGTCGACGAAAGTCGGAGGAAGCCCCATCGGATCTCACCCTTTGGAAGCAACTCACTGACCGCTCTGGGTTCGTGAGAGGCCTGGTCGACTCGGACAGCCCCAGTCTTCGCTGGGTTGAGCTTGGTGCCCGGTGATTCGGGCAAAGTTATCCATCGTCTTCCATGCCGTTACTGCTTTGGTCTCATCATTAGACCAGAACCAAACGTCATCGTGGATACGCCATATCGTCTGGCCCTCGGTCGCCTGATTGACGGAAAAGTCCAAGCAAAAAAGGATAGATTCGCCAAAGAGGTCGCTGAGGGCGTGAGAAGCGGGTGTGCCGCGGAGACGCTTTCGAGTGCTGACCGTGTCATCGTCGTCCAGGAACTTTAACGGAGCTTCGAGGAAGTTCTGGAAGAAGGCAAGCCACTGCTCCGAGACGCCAAAGAATCTGAGGACGGCAAGAACCGTCTGGTGTGGCAAGAGCGGAGCCCAGCTGTCAAAGACAGAATGGAACGCAGTCACCTCCCCATGGAGGCTTGTGCCAATAGCAATCTCCGTGGAGAGAATGTGAAGGATCTGCTGCTTCAGCTTCATGGTGTTCTTCGGTGTCGCCGTAGCAGAATCATCATCCCCGTCGCCCGAGCGGTCGTCTTCGGAGTCTGAAGCTTCGGTATCTTTGAACGTGGCGACCTCCT